CGACGGTGACACGTAGAATGACTGCAGGGAGGGCGCGCGGCACTCTGCTTCTCTGGCGCTCTTCGCGAACTTCGATGAAACGGGCGCGCCAGGATCGCGCACACCCTACCAGGCGTGACCCTTTAGCTAAGTCGTACGAAGCCACGGCAGTCTCTAACCAAGGAGTGTATGCCTCATACAAAGAAATTACACGAACATGCATTTCTTGAACAACTCTGCAGCTCAGTTTATGTACTGGAATCCACTGCTGCTACCGATCCCCTCAATATTACCGTGCATTTCTGAGAAATCAAGAGGAGGACCCCGTTAATTATTGTGTAGGTCAAATAACCGATTATACCTGAGCAATTGTTGCGATCCTAAAGGGAGTTGCACGATGCATGCCCAAAATGATTCCAGCACTCAACACTAAGCTTCATCACTTTGCCATTTGCTCTTCTGCAGTGCAGATGATGCTTTGAAGTCTTGCTTACTATACAGATGGCACGGCAAATTGGACGTTGAGGGAGGGGAAATGCGCCCAACCTAAGGGGGATGCGCTTCAAGATAACGAGAAACTTTCGTATCGGAGCATGGTCCTGTGGCGACATAATAAGGCCTCACCCGTCCCACTGGCCCCTTTGCTCCTCTGCCTCCCTCGATGACTGCCGGTCCCGTCATACTTCAACAGTCTTAGCAGACGGGCAAAGCAGAGCGTTCAAGCCGATGACGGCAACACCGATATGACTCCCCCAAAGTGGAAATTTGCTAGGAAAACAACCACTTTTATTTTCGAAAGTGACCAATTTACCGTCTTTCCAGGAGTGCGGAGCAGCCGCACTATCGGAAATGGTTCAAATCACGTAAACTCCGTGTTTTCGGTGAACAATATCCGGTTTTCTTCGAAGGCGGCGGCGATGCTATATTTTCCGATATAAACACACTATGGGCGGGATACGGTCCACGGTCCGCCAAAGAAGTGGGTCATTTCAAAGAGACATTCAGCTTACTGTTAAATGTCATCTGGATTTAGGTCTACGAGAAACTCAAAGTGCTGGGTAAATTTGATACCGTCATTTGCGAATTGATTCATCCTAAATTCTATCATTTGGATACGTGCTTTACTCCAGTCGATCGGACTACCGCCCTCTGGTTTCCGCCAGCGTTTTCCGAGCAAAGCAAAAAGGAGGTACCGTAATAACTTCGTATAGCATACATTATACGACTCTACTTATACTTCTACGACCTTTCACGCGATAGCGCAATGCAAGTGGCACCGATCCAGGGCTGCGAACTCCAGAGAGCCCGCAGTTTTCGTGCCTGTGAGTTAATTATGTGGTAACAGACTGTCGGAGAGAATGAAGCTCACAACCAGCACAATAGTCTGACCAAAGCGGATGAGACTGTGGGGGGAAGTTTTGTGCCGCGTTGCTCCATTGGTTTGATTAAAGGACGAATTCACGATCAGAGGGAAAATCGAATTAGGAAGAATTCACCTGGTTGAGGGACCCGCGGAGCTCCTAAGTGTGCGAACTGAAGCACAATTTGCACAGGAGGAGTTGACCTCGTTGACCTATTAAAGCAACAGTTCAGGGAGGGTCCGAAAATTTCAATGCCACTACTACTGAGGGATACACGAGCCCTAGTGAAGAACATATGCAGTGGAAATAATAAACGAACTTACCTCAGAAACTCAAAAACAGGGTGGAAAGTCCCTCAAACATGGGTGTTCTTGGGGATTTCCCCAATCCCGCCCCCTTGCCGGCCGTCATTGGACGCGTCGGCAATCGTGCTCGTTTTGGGACCACAGGGAAATTGATTGAAAAATGGAGCGCGTTTACAGCGGGCACGTTCAGACAACTCGTCCAACGTGCGTCTTTATCCATTGCTGAGCGGCAGAGGGAGAGTACCTGTCTAAGACCCTCCCCGACGTTTTTTTCCAGTTTTTCATACATTAATCGTCTGGTTTTCATCTACAACTTCATTATTGGTGGTTTTTTCCCGCGAAACCGTTCCTGAACTGTTGCTTTAAGGTTTATCCCCCGCGCGGCTGGTCAGTTGCACGCCCACCGATCATCTGATCACTCGCCGCAGGTCTATACGTGGTGAGTGATTAGATAGGTGAGAGAGCGTAGCGTTGAAGAGGGCACAGCGATGATAGTCGCATCAATGCTCAAATCAACGGGCAAGGAAGTGGTCCCATTTCTCAGGTTCTGGGCCGTTTCGCATGGTTTTTCCTTCTTTAGTGTACCACTCACCATCGCTAACTTAATTTGAAATGGGTTGCCTTTCCAGCGTGAATTCGTCCTTTAAGAGCTCATTAGCCTTTCCGCTCGCACTGTTATAATCAACCTTTGCATATTTGGCTTGCACAGCATGCGATAGATGACAACCCAGAGCTTGGCTCCCATCCACCTCATTAAATCTGGGGCACTTTAGGACACCACTTTCAAAATCCCTTCAAACTCAATCGCAGCTCATGGCTTTTCGGTGGTACGTGTCGCCCAGGCCCAAGTTACTATTTTTTTATTTATTAGAAAACCGCTTTCAAGCAGTCGATGACCCCATAGCCTTTCCATTCTTTACGACGCAAATTATCCACTATTTGCTTCTTTTTCGCCTTCGCGAGAACCAGAGAGCAGCGCTTGTCGAGAACGTGCCGTCTGGATGTTCCTTCAGGATTACGATCCCAAGCAAAAGTCGAACGAGTATTCTATCGCTGAGCATTTAGTCACAGAAGCACTTTGTCAAAGGCAGGGATCACGGTGGCTGGAGGGCGGTGCAGTTCTGATGACGTCGTCAATCGTCATTGGTGGACTAGACCACTCATCGCACGGGTGTGTGGTCGGAACCGCCTCTTAGAATGCCATTTCACCAATGAATGGCCTTCAGTGACATCATTAAAGCCGCAACGGCCTGCAGCCATCGTGACCTCCACTTGTTATGTCTCATTTGTTACAACCCTTACGGGCACTAAAAAATAGAACGAAAAGCTGAGCAGTTATTTTAGGAGTTTAGCCTTGTCTCAATCTTTCGTCCCCACCATACCCTAATCCAATCGGTCGGGTTAGTTCCGTTCACGTTGGAAAGGGAGTAACAGAAATAGTTAGGTACTGCTTGGAAGCAGCTTCACCAGAAGAAGAATCGGGGTTACGCTAATTGGCTCACCAATGAGAGAACAAGCGCTTCACTTGGACTTCTCGGAGTCTGCGAGATTGATGGGAGACAGACAGAGATAGACTGGGAGACAACTGGGAGACAATGAGCGCTTGAGAGAGGGCACTGACGAGCAAGGCGAAACAGTGTAGCAGACGAGCAGGTCGCAGGCAGTGCAACAGGGGTTGGTTGAGGTTGTCTGTGGTTGCAAGTTTCAAGCTCCTAGCGCACTTGCCATGCAGTCGGCTTGAAGTGGCAATCGCAAAATAGGAGCACCACCAGAAACACGTCTAATAAGCTTATCGCGATGTGCTTCTGAATCTGCAGGGAGCCGAAATCATGGAAAACTGTTACTTATCCCGCCATACTATTTTTGGAAATGAGTCTCGTATTCTTTGCACACGAGCGATGTTCCCAACCCTTCGGGAGCCACGATATAGTGCTCGATTTGTCCTGGAGAAATAAAAGCTCTGCAAACCTGGCGAGTGGGAGACTGTACCCATGCATTCGTATTCCTTCTCAAATCTGAAGACAATCTAAATGCATTTCGTATTACGAAAGGTTGGGTACATGACAGGAGGCCTGTCGCGCGGCAAGAAGGCAGAGACGCAGACGAGTCAGTGGACGAGTTGCAGCGTGTACTGTGCGAGATGGGACGTACTACACATATTGCACATCCTATTTAATTTGATGCTAAATCACTACAGTACGCGCTGCGACTCGTCCGCTGACCCGTCTGCGTCTCTGTCTTCTCGCCGCGCGAGAGGACCGCTGTCGGGTACCTCGAAAGAATTGATCAAAAGGGACCGCTTCACCCTAGAGTTTGCAGTTCAATAACACCCCTGTTATTGAAGAAATAAGAAGATGATGAAGATTGAATATAGAAGCTTTCAGCATCAGCGTTATAGTCCACATTCCAGATAATGCGACGTCTACCACACTCGATAGCTGTGTCCGAAGAAGAAGCGAATGCATTTGTCTGCAATTCGATTACAGTCCGAAATACGGTATTGTCCCCTGTGGGCATTGCAGAGGCCACACGGGAGGCGTTAGCCCATCGGCGAATATCCGTCAGAGAACTGGATATGAGTGAATTCGTGAAAAGCGGTGGAGCCTGCCATTCTCTTGTACTTCGCTTATAAGTTATTATTTGAATAAACACTCACTGCACTTTTCTTGTTCAAGCTGTCACAAGGTTTCGAAAACTTTCCAAAAAAAAACGGGAAGTTTCAACGGGACTACTCCCTACAGAACTTCAAAGGATCGAAGCATTTCCTGAGTTCCCGAGAAGGCCTTACTTTAAAAGGGTAATGGATACTGCTGGCTGAATCTGCTAAAGCCACTGTTATACTTTGCGACTAAGCTGTTGCAGTTCAAGTGCGGAGTAGATGCGTATCGATCCTGCGACCTCACAATCGCACAACCGCACAATACGTATTTACTACGGAAAATCGCAAGAGCGCAAAATCGCTGGGTCACAAACTATGACCGCAGCCCAGCCACGACATTA